CTCTTCGTACGAAGAGCTTAAATACTTACTAATGATCATGGGTTCTGTCTCTCCCGAACTCTCCGCTCACTTTTTTTTACAACGAGCTGTAATGATAGGCTCCATTGAAGGACTTTACGGCTGTCTAGCAGCATACTTCACAGCTCTCCTCGAAAAGTAGTTGTAGGTTGGCGGAAAGAAGCTTCTGAGGAGGGGCATTGTTCATTTGTTCACGATATTAGGGACGCCTAAGACGGAATCAATTCTAGTTACTGGTAGTTTACTAAAGACATGTTGTATTTTTGTGGAAATATTATGCATAGCTCTTTACGTGGGGAATCAAAGATATGTTCCATGTTGGCCGTTGGGTGGAGTCACTGAGCCGCTGCACCTTTTTTATTGGCGCTCACTTCCTTATTGCCGTGAGGAGGCCGCCAATCAGAACGGGAGCAGTGCTTGGAATAGCATTGCCCATGCGACCAGCGTCGAATGAGCGGGAGGTTCGAAGTGTAGTAGGGATCTGTGAAAGAGAAATTGTTCCCACCTATATCAGGTAGGCTGTCTGGCCCCCTCAATTTCCACTTTTTTTCCCGTATTTACTCGATCGGGAATCATAAATCGAAATGTATTATTGAAATTCTGGAACAATGTAGAGAACGTGCCTAGTGCTATTCAGCGTGGATTTTATTATCACCATGGCCCCCAAAACAGTACATGATGTTTTGCAGTGAGATGCTCCGTGCTGTAGTAAATTCTGTAAAAAGCCGGACAAAACATCGCTGGTTGAACCCAAGGCGCTAGTCGGGACTCTCTCACCATAAAAGGTTTTCGAGGTTTTTCCTGTTTTCCCTCCCAACGGAAATTTGCTCTATGATAAAGAAAATGTTTGGAAATAACTTATTCGCATTTGTTCGCATATTTTTCAATTTTTTTCTACGTAAACTTTTTAGCAGTCTCCCTAAGTAGAAAAACTTCTTGAACCCTTGAAAAAGCGCTTAGTCATTTAAACACATCCGAACCATAATGCTCTTCTGTCGAACACTTCTCCATGGGCAACTGAAGAACTTTCACCGAACTTTAACTTTACTTGTTGTCTTACCAAGTAACATATACAAATTTCTAAGCTGGATTTCCGTGCGCTATTTGTGTGCGCGTTATTGTGCTGTGCTACTAGGGAGAAAAATTGGGAAAACTTCAATAGTTAAAGGCAGAGCCCGCGATCACTTGTAATTAATCATCCAAGCCAAGAATAATCAGCTGTCAAGAGAGGTAGGGTGGACTGCGATGAACAACGCTGTATAAGTTTCACGTCAGAAAGGTACTGCCAGATAGCCGTAAAGCCATCAGGTGGAGCCTATAATTACAGCTTGTTGTAGAAATGTGGGTGAAAGCCCGGGTAAGAAAGAGCCTACATTCATTCCAAAGTATCTAAGCTCTTCGTAAGGAGAGGTAGTGGACTGTAAAGAACAACCCTGTATACGGTTTGACGTCAGTAAGAGGTAATGTATTAGGTCATACCATTCAAAAGTGCCGCCACCAGATATAAAGGAACCAGTCGGATCGGCCGGCGAAGCCGGCCGATTTTCTTTCCGGGTGTGAAGTGGGTCCCGGTGAGAAGTTTTCCATGAGAGGAGGGCCAGTCGGTCGAATGGTCGAAAAAAATTGTTTTGAGAATTACCACACTTTACCGTTTCACTGCTTGTAGATTACCCCTAGAAGACAGTCATGAAAATTTTCTATACCGCAATCCCGTTACTGATGAAGAAGCGCAGAATAAACGGCACCAACCATTTGGTATACTCGCTACGGTTATCCCTAACTAACTTCATCTGCCCAACCATTGCTCAGTTTCACTTACTCCCCATTTCCTGGAGTTTTTCGGATATGTTTTGAGGGTTTTTGTCCCCGGCACCGTTCACTTCGGCGAACGCCCTGCCCATCGCGGGTGTGCTTCATTCATTCCGTCCGCCAACTGTTTGCCTATCGTTTCCCACAATTTCCGCTCTTCGGGATCTTCTGGAACCGAACTACGAATTTTTAAAAGTTTTGTAGCGAGCACCGCCCACCTATAGCACGCCTCGCCACATCATAGATATGTCTCCCTCATTTCATCCACCAACTGACTGCTTATCGTTTCCCACAATTTCCGCTCTTCGGGATCTTCTGGAACCGAACTACGAATTTTTAAAAGTTTTGTAGCGAGCACCGCCCACCTATAGCACGCCTCGCCCATCATGGATGTGACTCCCTCATTTCATCCGCCAACTGACTGCTTATCGTTTCCCACAATTTCCGCTCTCCGGGATCTTCTAGAACCGAACTACGAATTTTTGAACTATGTAACTCACAACTGTGCGCATGCCCCGCCCACAGTGGGCGGAGCTTAGCTCAGTTCATGTGTGTTCCGTACATCTTGACCCATGCCCTACCCAACCCACCCTTGACCCGCCCCCTCCAACTGGTTCTTCAGGTGATTCCGAATTTCCGGACAGACAGACAAACAGACAAACAGACAAACAGACAGACGTTGCCGTTTATATATAGTATAGGATATACGATGGCAGAAAAGCAAAGGGGATAGAGCAGCGGGCTACTATACCATTTGGAAGCTAGTACCTTTAGCTGTGTATCTGTGAAATTTGGCGAACCTCCCACAGGAGGAATTCTCGAGAAATTGAAAAGAAGCCCGAGTGGTGAAAATCACTACCAGATTTTCAAATCAGGCGTCATACAGTCCTCATCATTGCGGACCGGTGGGGCGTGTCAGCCAGTATGAGTGTGCACACTGTTGAAGCCGTTCTCAGCCTTTTTGTTGAAACGCGTATGCGACAAAAAGTGGTAGAAAACGAG